CCTGCCACTGCAGTGTGACGAGGGCCGCTGCCGTATGTCGCCACGACGAGGAGATCATGCAGGGAGATGTCACACTGGGCGGAGTGCGCTGCCCACTCGCGCAGGACAGCGAAGCCCTCTGTAATGCGCCGCATCAGGGCGCGTTGCGCACTGAGCCTTTCCTCGATGGCCACCTGCTGCTGCAGCAGATGTAGAAGCTGCGCGTGGAGGGAGGCTGGTGGCGCCGACGTCGCATCCACGCACGGGGGCACGTTGTCCATGTGAAGTTGGCCGCTTCTGCCGTCGCGGTGCAGAGCCGTTTGAGGTCAGCTGCCGCTGTGATGCCGCTAACTGACGTCAGAGAAGGGAAAGCAGGGAAGGAGACCACAGCGTGAGAGGGAAACAAAACATACGCATCTGCACACAAGTGTTTCCATCGGGGCACCACAAGCCATATATATATATATATATATAAATATATCTTTTTGGAATTAGTGTGTGACGTTCAAGCGAACAGCGACACACGGACAAAGAAATGAAAAGCACAAGCAAGTCATGCATGGAGACCCATCTTCACACACCACACCACAACCTCATCATGCCTCGATGTCTGACATCGTCCCAGAAGTGTGACAGACACACAAAGACTCCTGCTGGGTGCCAGCGCTTTCCACACCTTAGTAGTGCAGCTTCGTGCGGCGCCAGTGGCGGCGCTTCTCATTCCACTTGATGCGGTTTCCGGTGCGGAGGCGGATCCAGTACGGCACGGGGCGGTTCTGATTCAGCTTCTTCGCGTACTTCTTCTTGACTGCGAGTGGCTTAAAGCGTCCCATAGCGAATATGTGCTGATCGATGGACTAATCCCCTTCTTGCTGTTATTGGTGGCATCATCAGACGCACACAAAAGCGTGAAGGATTCACACATAGAAAGAGAAAGAAGAAGAAACATGAATATCAGCAGCATGAAGAAGTGTGGACAATTGTCAAGGAAAGCAGCCAGGCACCAGGGGCACAGAGACACCCTCTCACCCCATTTCACACACACAGGGAGCGTGCGTGCATGCGCCATCTAGAGCGAATCACACAAGAAAGAGCAGAGCACACACACACACACACACACACACGCAACCTAAGCGAGTGCAGAAGAGAAAAAGAAAGTCATGCGATGCGGGATACGGCACATGTCTCCCAGCAGCAACACATTTCTCCCACCACCCAGTTCAATTCATTACGCTACAATGTAGCCCTCCGTCACGAGGTGCGTCGCCTGACTGAACCGCACAGGAGCCCCACTGTCAGTCTCGATCGCCTCCACCACACGCACCTGCCCGGCCGACGCATGCGACGTGAACGTCACGTCAACGGGGAAGAAGACATTATCCGCAGCGCCCTTGCCACCGTCGGTGAGCCCAATTTCCACATGCCCGCTCGCATTATTGTGTACGTCAATCGTCGGAATCGACCATACCACGCAGCCGTTAGCGATGCTGCATGTGCCGACGGACGGCTCCATTTCAGCTGCCGTGGCGCCGTGAAGCGGAATGGCGATGTGCACATCATGGAGGGCGTCGGCGCTGGCGTTGCCCAGCTCGTATTCCACCGTCACACTACCGGTGCTGGGCCAGCATGACAAGATGATGGGTGCACGCACGCCGCCGGTGTTCTGCAGCCGCCAGCGCAGGATCGTCACCGGCTGCTGCACCGGGAATGGCTTGCTGTCGCGCATCGATAACACATGGTCTTCCGCGAACATCTCCTTGTTGACTTTCGCGTGGGCGCGGAACGAGAACTCATTGCTCATTTGGTCAAGCAGGAGCCTCACCTTCGCCAGCTGCGGGTCACTAACAAGCACCGACAGCTCACCGCGGATGTCCACCTCGCCGCCTTCCCCATCGCGGTTGAGCTGCGCGCTAATCTTCTCCTCCACGATGATGTGCAGTCCCTCCACGCCACTGTCGTGCGCTTTGTGCTCCGTGACTGCAGGTGCCGCACCAACAGTCTGGGCGGCACCGGCGGCAGTGCTTGACGGCGGCGGCGGCGGTAGCCCCGCCTCCTTCAACACCCGCGACGTGATGTCCGCCTTCTTTGCGCGGCCAAGCGTAAGGCCACCCGCGCGTGGCGGCCTGGACGCTGCTGCTCCTGTCAGCCCTGCTGCGGATGCCCCATCCGCCGGCCGCGGCAACACAACGGGATTTCGGTTGCCATCGCCGAAGCTGCCAACGCCTGCGCCGCCCAGCACATTTGGCCCACCAGTGCCTCCGTAGCCAGTGTCATCGGAGCCGATGCCACTGTACGGGTTCATGCCCTTGCGCCGCTTGTCGCGTAGCTCGTGTGCCTTTCGTGCCGCGTCCTTCTTGGCGCGCTCCATCTGCAGCCGCTTCTCCTCCCGCACCATCATCTCCTCATGCGACTCCATCTCGAGGTAGGTCTTGATTTGCTCCACCGTTGTGTTCTCGCGCTTGCCGCCGACGATGACCTCGTCGAGGGCGAAGAACACCTGAAATGCCTTGGCCTCTAGCGCCGCCTCAGAGACGGTCTCCACGTACTCCGGGATGAGGCGGCCCATGAGGTGCAGTGTGGCTAGGTCCTCAACAATGTTGCTATTCTTTGTCGTGATGAGCACGAGGAAGAGATCTTCCAGCGGCTGGTACACGTAGCGCACCGCGCCCGCATCGATGTAGGTCACCTGCTTGTTGACGGATGACTCCAGCAGGCGCGGAAAGGCGGAGAGAAGTCCCTCCACGCGGATGCGCGATATCTCATTGAAGTTCCGCGAGAGAATGATTTGTCCTTGCTTGTTCACCACACCGGCAGAAATGACGGGCATTGTCGTGATGGCGATGGCTCGTCGGTCCTTGCGCCTTTCCGTGTCCTTTTTGTTTGTTTGTTTGTTTGTTTGTTTAATACGCGAAGAAAACAAACGTCTTGCGTTTCCTATCGTCTCTCCTCTGATATCTGTATGGATACTTTTCTTCTTATAGCGCTATGTTGAGTGGACGGCGCAGTCTCTTTTTTTGGATTTTTTTTTTCCTTTGGTTCTCCCCTTTTCTCCTTTGCTTACCTGCCCCCCGCAGAGCCAACAGCAGGTGCCGGAGAGACACAGAGAGAGACACACAGAGAGAGACAGAGAGAGATCGAGTGGGCGGGGAGGCCGACAAGTGCGTTCCCAGGCGCAAAGGAAGGCGCGCGCGTGAGGAGCAAAAAAAGTGTCATGAATCACACAGCCACACAGCCACACAGAGAGAGAGAGAGAGAGTGAGTGAGTGAGAGTGTGTGCGTGTGTGTGTGTGAGTGAGAGAGTGAGAACGAGAGAGCGCGTTAAGCCGTTAAAAATCAATAGTGGAGAGAAGCAGCACTGCGGTGTGCAACCTTTATATTAGTTGCTCATCACTCTTCGCATGTAATGCCGAACTGCTCCTGTGGCACTTGGAGAGCGAAACAAGACACCTCCCCAGCTGAAAGAAGAAACAACCAAACAAACAAACAGCAACAACAACGGAATCGCACACACACACACACACACACAGATGGAGATAGATAGATAGATAGGTAGATAGACACACACACACACACACACACACAGACATCATTGATCCTCACCCTTCTTCCTAGAAACACCCCTCCTCTATTACAGAATCATACCTTCCCGTGGCTGCGGCAGTTGCTCCACAGGGGAGCCTCCCACCACCACGTCACTCTCGTGCAACACCTCAAATGCACCGTCCCAGTACCGCTCCACTACAAACTCCGTTGCCTCCAGGCGCTGAATCTCTTGCGCAGCGTCAATGTGTACCAGCTGTTGATGTTTCGGCTGGTAACGTGAGTTGATATTAGAAACCCGCGGAAGCAGTTCCGTGGTGGGGCCCAATATGTTACGGTAAAAATTTGTGATGCTGCGCTGCAGAGGCGTGTTGCTGCTGCTGCCGCCGCCGCCGCCGCCTTCCATCAGCGGTGTACTGGACGCCTCGCTGTCGTCACATTTACTCCTGCGCTTTGGCTGCACGAGGCTTCTAGTGAGGCGCTCCAACGACGTTCCATCCTCCACAACATTCGGCGACTCTGGCGTCGTCTCGACCCCTCCTGTTGGTGTTGTGGTGCGCCCCACGCTCAACCCAGACGTGCCGTATTGTGTGCACAGCACCGACTCCGCCGAGAGGAACCGCCGCGCGTTGGCGAGTGAGGCGATCCAGCGCCGCGACACCATGTGAACATGCGTGAGCAGCAGCATGCCCACCGCCAGCGAGATGGAGCAGAGCACAACCCCGCCCACGTGGCCGCGCAGGCTCATGAACAGCACGCCGCCGATGCCGCCAGCGCAGTAGAGCCAACTTGCCGCCCGCAACGCCTGCGCCGATGCGGTGAAGACGGTGCAGTCATGCAGCGGGTGAATGGTGGGGCGGTAGCGGTCGTACAGCCGGCACCGCTGCGTCATGTAGCGCACGACAAAGTACAGCCCGACGAACAGCGCCAGGAGCGGCACCGTCATGTGAAAGAGAAGCCCCATCGCGAGGATTGTGAGGTCAAAGCTGTAGAGCTGTGCCCACTCAAACACACACGGATTGAAGAGACTGTCGTACACGCGCTGCACGCTCACCAGTTTCCGCCGCAGCAGCGCCATGAGCAGCGCAACAGGGTCGACGAGGTTAATCCACGTCGACACGCACGCAGCGGTGATGACCTTGGCGTACCAGTAGCCCCCCTGCGGACTGACAAGCGCGACGAAGAAGTTAATCACCGCCTCGCTCGTCGGGTCGGCGATCAGGTCGGCGAGCTGGAAGAGCCCACCCTGCAGCGCCGCCTGGAAGACGACACCAGTGAGCACCATGAAGAGATACTGCAGGTGCAGTTCCCCGCCATCGTGCTCGGCGCGGTTGACAGCGCCCATCCCCACCACAAAGCCGCGTATAATAAAGGGCAGTACAACGTTGAAGAGCGCCAACACCACAACAGGGAGGTACGCCGTCAGAATACCGCGAATGGTCTCTGGTGTGCGCATGTAGAAATCGTAGAGCGCTCCGCCAATTCCAGGCACACGCGAGATGTTGTCGAGGGAGCCGAGAAACCCAACAGGCAGAGACCAGAAGAAGAGCAGCACGGTGAAGGCCGCCACCACCGCTAAGGTGCGCAGCCAACCCATGTGTCGGTCTGCCGTCACATTGATGTGAATGATATCGTCCGGTGGCCCAGCGATGGTGGCACGCGTGCTCGACATAACGCCGTTGAGGGACTCAAATAAGTTTACAAACTCGTACGCCGACAGCGCATCGGCGAAAACAACAAAGGCAGATCCCTTCTTGTCGCTCTCAGGGATAATATCGATGCAATTGTTCAGTTTTGACGCCCGCAAGAGAAACACCTCCTTCCAGTACTCGATCCTTGGTACCATGGTGCAGCAGGACGGGAATGGTGCGCGCATCATCAGCACATCGTCCTGCGGCTCCATTTGCTCCTGCCGCTGCCGCCGCAGAGAGGCCTTTTGATCTGCCACCGCCTCCTGTAGAGCCTCCATGGCCTTCTCTGTTTGCTCCATGTACTTGTACATGCTGTGTGGCGGCTTGCGAGGAAACAGCAGCTGCTTTACACTACCATCTCTTGTGAAGACGGCGTCCCAGCGCGTGGTCTTGTAGTAGTTGAAGCCCACAATCGAGAAGAGACATCCCAGTCCCGTACAGTCGCACTGATAGTACACTCTGTCATCATCATCGTCATCATCAACACCCCTACAATTATTGTCCATTTCCCCATCACCACTGCCGCCACCACCGTTCCGCCTCGGCCTGGGCGGGAAGTACGCGCTCTCCACGAGGTAGCGTTGTCGAAATTCAGACTCTGACACGATCTTATCCTTGAGGCCACGCACAACCGCCACGCGGTGACCAAGCGCGTGCTTCATCTGCAGGCGCATCACCGTCCTGATGTATGCATCGACGTGGTGCAGAAAGAATATCACAGACACAAAGTAGACCGTGCAAAAGCACAAGTCAAACACACCCACCAGCCACAGACGCCAACTGCGTGGGGCAATGTTCTGAACGGAAAGATCATAGAGGCCGTTAAGCGCCACTGGGTAGCACCCCGCACCTTCAATGTATTGACAAAACGGCGCCTTGTCAACGCATGCTGTCTTGTCGTCGTCTGAATAGCGACGACAATGATGAATATCGCGACGAACCATATAATGCTCGATGTAGTTATCGGTGCCGGAGACGGCGCAGATCCATACGTTAATAAACCCACCAACTATGAAGACTGTTGCGAAGAGCTTTAGGAAGGCGAGGTAGAGAGCAACCTGCGGGTCGAGAGGCGCCTTACGTGAGCCGCGAGATGTCTCTTCCAATAGACCACCGCTGCTGCCTGAAGGACGACTTACTTCCTCAAACACACTGTCCTTTTCCTTCCCAGCATCCTTCTCCCGTGCCGTTCTTGCTGCTGTTGCCTCTGGTGGGGTTGAATCCCCCTTCGTTGCACTGTATGTCGAATCTCTGGACGACTCATCATCCCTCATGTTTTCACAACCGCCGATATTACCAATTGGGCGGGTTGCCGCAGTGTGTGGGAGAACACCCTCAAGGTGCTCTACATCCTCCTCGACACTCAGCCAGGAGCGCCAGCTTGGGAGAGAAAAGAGTGAGGAGCGGTACGGCAGCGCACGTCCCACATGTGCGGCGCGGAGGGGCGTTTCCTCTGTATCAGACTCTCTTCTTCTGCCTGGCGATGACACCACTATTGTGGTGTGGTTGGTGCGGTAGAGACGCCGCAGCCACAGGACTGGTGTGACGAGAAGGGTGAAGCTGGCGAAGCTGAGCGCTGCAAGTAGAATGGTGTTGACGACCAGCGTGAACCACAGTCCCTGGTCATCCCAACTGGACTTGGGACCAAGTGTGAAGTCCATGACTAATCACCGTCGTATTTACTCGTCTATTCGCAGCCTTGATGCCTTATACCTATATGCAATGCATGAACACACACACACACACATATATATATATATATATATGAAAGGAAAAAATGAAACATAGAAAGAGTGCGACAAAGCACGACAGAGAGCAAAGAGAAGTACAAGAAGAGATGGGTATGCCGAAGAGAGATTCCAATGGAGGTCTCCCTTCCCAATAACGGCAAGCCTGTAGAGAAGACGCATACTGTTTTCTTTACATTACACCTCGTGTCTGTGTCTCCATGTAGATATGCCGCACCACACAACTAGAGCTGATTGTACATCCTCTTAGTGCCCTTCCTTGAATGAGACGTGGAGGGAATTCCTCTCACTACCCATCATTGCTTGTTTTGCCTTTGCCATTGCCTTTGCCCTTGTCGGTTCCGGTACCCTTTCCGCCAGAGCTTCGGCTTCTGTTGCTGTTTTTACGGCCTCTCCCTCTTCCTCCTCCTCTTGCCTCACCGCCGCTATCGGGGACTCATCGTGTGTGGACTGCGCTTCCGCACAGCTGTCCGTGGCGCCGAGCGTCTCCGGCAGAGGGCCGACGCCGCAATCGACGACAACCACAAAACGCGACGGGTAGCCGTTGATGTCGCCGTACGGTGCCACCTCCTGCATGAAGTCATCCAGCCCACGCACGATACGCCCGAAGCAGACGTGACGGCCATTGAGCGCCTTCTCCTGGGCTTCCGATGTGGTGATGAAGAACTGCGAACCATTGCTGTTCGGCCCGTTGTTGGCCATGAGCAACAGACCAACCTCGTTGATGCACCGCCGCTTGTACTCATCGGCGAACCAGCCGCGGCCAAATGCAGAGAAGTGGTTGGCGCCGCCAGCAACGCGCATCGTGAGATCCCCGCCCTGCGCGCAGAGCCGCGGAATGATCTTGTGGAAGTACGTACCGCGGTAGCATGGCGTGAGGCCCTGGAAGACGTACGTTTGCCCCTGCCGGCTCGTCGACTGCCCTGCACAGAGGTGGCGGAAGTTGGCGCACGTCCTGGGCGACTCCTCATCGAAGAGCTCAAACTCGATGCGGATCACTCGTTCCGGCGTACCGGCGCCACGCGTGGAGGCGAGGAGGTCGCCGTGCTGCTGCACCATCGAGCCAGAGAGCGACGGCACGTTCGGGAAGCTGCCGAAGCAGGCGAGCTCCATCCAGCAGGAGGTGCGCGGCCGCCGCTGCGAGTGGCTCCC